TCTCTGTCTTCCTCAGTGGACCAGGAAGCTCCAGATCACCACAGCTGCATTTTTATGTGCAGAAACAATACTAATGCTACAGTTTCATGGACATTTGTCTTGATGGCAAAACTGAAATGGTTTCCTTCTGCTTGTGGCTACCTTGGTTGTACCAATATAACTCCACCTGCAGATGTGCTTTGCATGAAAGGTTTGTCACATCTGGATGAAAAACAACTAGCCAGCTCCTGAACCAGTCCACAGTGCCACCGAACATAAAATTGTAGCAGTGCAATTAGGAAGGACAATTTGGGAATGGATATGACCAGCTGGAGGTGAAGGTTGCTTTAGCTGATCTTGCTGCTGGAAAACAACCAGCGTTATGCTGCTCCACCAAGTGAGATGGATAAATCTTCTTAACCAAAGCAGTCTTGTAGAAATTTTTTGTCACCGTGGAGTTCCACAAACTCTTGGGGTGTATCCAGCGTGTGGAAATGCTTTGCTGGCAGTCAGGGTGGAACTGTGTGTATTAATGGCCTAAATGCTGCATGGCATAATCCGCTGTATAGGAAGCAGTCACGCACTCCAAATTTGATCTGTGCAGAGTAGAGATATCAGCCTACTCTCCTTGTCTGACAACTTGGAAAGACAGATTTTTTTTTTATTTTTTTTTTTTTAAAGCATAGTTGCTGCCCTGCCCAGCACTAGAGGCTAAGACTGAAATGCCTTTCTGAAAGTCAGTAAGTATTTAGTTAAAAGTAGGGCTGCATTCTGGATATGTAAAATTTGAGTATAAATCCCTTAGATCATGTTTAGGGAATGAAGATGTGTTCAGCATGAAGACTCCTGCCTTGTGGTTCTCAGATCCAGCGATCCATTTGCCTGTGTAGGACATGTCTGTGCTCCAGCATGTGCCTCAAAGCAGCAGATAAATGCATCAGAGTTCATAAATGCTGCTGAGCCAGTGCAGAAGTGCCTGCACCCACTTCAGGCTCCTGAGATTTCGGGATCACTGCAGGCTGAGGCACCTGCTGTCTTCACCTGTCCATGTGTGTTCAAGTGTGAACCGGTTCCCAAACCTCGTGGGTGATTGATTGCTGAATGAGACAAAGGCCCATCCTCTGCCTCTGTGGGTTAGAGCTTGCAAGTCCCTTTTGCTCTCCTGGGGATAGTCACCTCATTGGATGTTTTCTGTTTTGGTGGTATGGTATGTACATATTTTATTTGTTTTTCAAAGCAAAGCTATAGCTGTCAAACAACCTAAAACTTCTTACTACTTCTGTGTGTCTGCCACTTTCTTGGCTTATGAGATGATCCATTCAGTAAAATAGGAAACAACCAAAACAGTTCTACCTGCTCAATTAGGTTCTTAAGCTGATGACACAGTCTTACCAAAGTCCTAGATTTAGCCAGAAGCTGCAGTTTTACAGCTGGCTTGATATCTGAGTAGCAATGGTTGGTTAAGCTCTTCTTGGGCAGCATTTCAATTCACTGGTAGAGATATTCTGTGATTCAACTCATGGCATCCCTTGCTAACATCACACTCGTGCTACAGGTTCCTCTTCAGTGTGTTTGTACGTTGGTTCTGGAGCACACCATATCTTGTTCTGCCTTTGTCAAAATTTAGGGGTAACAAGGAAGTTGTGCCTACAGTGGTAGGGAGCACAGCAGTGAGTTAAGAGAAGAAATTGTTGGGTATTGGCGATAGCCTATGTCAGAATCCTAAGTAATGGGTGGGTTCCTAAACTTGATGTGTTTAAGTCGCTAGAGCTGTTTCCTTGTGAACCAGAACAGCCCAAAGGCTGTGGAGGGTAGGTTCACTGACACAGCCTCTGTGGTCTGGCACGTGATGCTTGGCACTGCAAAACCCTGTCTAGGAAAGGTGCTCTAGGGTGATCCCATCATGTAAATAACACAAGTAAGTGCTTGGGTTTTGGGAAGCTTTCAGTGAAGCCCTTCAGAAATGAGAGAAAGGTTCAAAAAGCCTCAGTGTTTTGCTTGGGTCCTGTTAAACTGCTACTTCCATGTATTGTTTTCCTGTTGCAGCTGGCAAAATATTTCTGTATAAAAAGTGGTGTTTCTTCTAGCCTGCCTGCTCCTCCTGTATGGCTCTGCAACGTCAAACCTGACATTGTACATGTTTTCACAGTGGTAAGAGGTAACTTCGCAAACACAGAATTGAAGCATTGCTGCAAAAATCAGACAGGAAGAGGCAGTGGGGAGAAGACTGTGTAACATCTGGGTGAGACAGCATAGAAGAAGGTTCAGGGATGGTTTGGCAGAAGCCCTTGGTCTGGTGACAGTGCCAGTGTTCTGCCAGAGCAACTTCTTGCTGAAGGGGAAACCTCTTGTAGCAGGCGGGGTCCAGCAGGGTTGGTTCCCAGGCTCTCTGGCTCTGCACTGTGTGTCTCTGGTATCCCCCTGCTTCTCCGAGCCCTTGCAGGGTTTCAGAACATCGTGCCTATGCGCTAGCGTGCAGTTCCTGCTGGAATTGTTGTAGGCTGTGTGAAGTGGCTGGGATTGGCACTGTGAGGTGAAACAAAGCAACGCCTCGGCAAGAAACCAGGCTGTGTGAGTGCAGGGCTGGAAACGGCCTCCTATGGCACGCAGGGTTATTCTCGTGCTATTGCAAGAAAACATATCATGCAGACACTTTAATGGGCTTAGTGTGCTTACAATTAGCTATTTTTCCTCCACTGCAGCTGTTAAAAGGCCCTTCCAGAGACTGACTTCTCTCATGGTTAAACTATTTCATACTGAGCATAAGCTGTCCACATTTAGACTACTGATGTCTTCTTGCTGACGTTGTTTCTCCAGGGCTTGCTTCCACCTGATGTACTTATAAAATGCAGTCATATCTCTGTGGTCCCCAGGTTTTACTAAATTAATGCTCCAGGCTCTTTCTGTTACCCCATTGGAGAGAGGCAGGAGCTGTGGTGTGGATCCTGTTGTCCCAGCCAAAACAGTAATAGCTACACTGGGAACAGTGGTTTTGGGTGATACAAGCTTCTTCTGCACAGTTTCCTGATGCTCCTTTGCCACATGGGTTTTTCCAATATAGATCGAGCCTCTGAGTATTGTATCCTAAACATCCTATGGAAAAAGGGCCTCAGGTCACACTGGCAGCTCCTTGGATTGTAACCGCTGGTTGTTTTGCGGTCAGCTGAGCACTGTGTGCTGTGGTTTCATCTGTTTTTACTTATAGAGGTACCTTTCAGTGTGAAGCTGTGTTTTTAGTGTGTAAATAATATAGGTAAAATACCATGTGCTGCTGTTGTTTTTTTTTTAATACAAAGTTTGGTTTCTTATACACAGCCCTCACGGTTCTGGTTTTTGTGTCTTTGCTGCAGTTACTGCAGTTGTTGGAAGTTATTGGAAGTTGAGGGGGTGCTGCATGCTGTGACAGCCGGGCAGGGAACGTGTGGGACGGGTTCGGCACCTGCGGGGAGCTGGGAGGCACTGTGGCACTTGCATATTTGCCAGAATTCTGAGAAACGTTATCATTAGTTAAGCAATACTGATATTTAAGCACTCATCTTTGTTTCAGAACTCTGCTGAATAGGGACGGTTTAAACAGGGCTACTGTTTCAAGTTGTCAGCTGCTGCAGGAAGCTAAGACATAATTTTTAATGATTTTTCAGCCATCAGAGTTGCAAAGGGAAAAATTTGATTTTCCAAGAGACCACCAGACGCGCTCTGCAGAGAAGGGGTGGGGATGGGCAGCAGCACAGCATCTCTGGAGCCTTGGTTTCAGCTTCTGTGGACGGGTCTTTTTCTGTAGTGACTGTATATATTTAATTTTAGGAAGGCTAGTGGATAAAAACAAAATTCTGAGAGGATCTTTGAGCAAATGCTGGAGATGCGGAGTCACTGTTGCCATCTTCACGTGATGGTATTGAGCTGGGCCAGGTGTCCCCAGCTGACTGCAGCTGCTCACAGGTACCTCTCCTGAACCCTGCTCTTTTCCCCAATGAAGGCAGCTCAGAAGGAGGACCTGTCACTGGAGGGAGACCAGGCTTTAACTTGTACTCATCTCTTAATCAACAAATTGTTATTTGTTGGGACAATTTGCATTTAGGCTGGTAGAATTTATTGTCTGCAGGAAACTTCTATTTCTGAAACTTCTTTTGTTTCAAATCATACCACAAAAAGACAACATCTGTATGTGGTCTATTGAGTTGAAATGGTATCACACACACGGAAAAAAAAGCTTGAGCATTGTGGCATCAATATGACAATGTCGCAACGAGAAGCTGATGTTGAAATTAATTTCTGAATATGTTGGAACAAATTGAAATGTTTTCCCTAAACTTTGTATGTCAGTTTTCTTAACCCACTGAGATTAAATAGACACATTCCTGCAAATCTCCTCATTCTGTACAAACTTATTTCCTATCAGCAAACCCACTTCATTTTCATTTGTTTTAACCAGAGTACTCGTAGTTTTGGGGAATGCAAGCACTGCTTGCTTTAGGTCACGGCTGTAGCTCTCTTTGCTAATCCTCTTCATCATTTCAGGTTGAACTGGCATGACTAGCCCACCGCTTTAGTACGCCATCCTGCAGCTCCTGAGTTGGCTGCCGCCCGAAAATGACTGCCTAACATTAACTCCGCAAAAGCCCCCGTGGGAATTCACCAGGAGCTGCTCCCGTTTCATGTCGTTACATGGGGTAACCTGGTGCAGAAACGATGCTCCAACCCTCACCCCAAAGACAAGTCCTTGAAGGAAGCCCCTGTGCGCTCGCAGTCAAACAACAGAGAACCTCCTTAAGAGAGAGAAAGGGGGAGGAGAAAGCATCGCTCTCTGGCTGTAGCAACCCCACCTCCCAGTTATTTCATCTTCCTTACAAGGCTAAAGCCAGAAGCTTTCCTCTGCCGCCTGGCTCCCTTAAAAGCAGCAGAGCCGAGCCCCGAGGATCCCGGTGGAGTGTGGCCGGGATGGGAGGCTGACAGGGATGGAGAAGGAGGCACCGGCAGGAGCCCTGCAGAGAGCGCGGCGGCGAAGGCTGGTGCTCTCCAGGGGAGAAGCGTGACCGTATCCTATGAATCCTAAGCCAGGTATCCATTGATGCAGATCTTCCAAAGAAACGTGAAACCAAACCCAAAAAGAAATCACTGAGGGGGAAAAGGTGCAACATGAGAGGTAAATTTATTTTTCATTGGGAAAACAAAAAATAACTGGCTTTATTTCATGTTAAAATCATTGTTGTAAGTAGATGTCTACAACTAGGGACTGAAATACGTTTACTAACATCTGAATACAGACTTTGGTCTGCCTGACTTCAAAAGCAGCACTGTATTAAAAAGTCAGATCAACTAATGAATTCAGGTGTCTCTGAAGAAATTCTGAATTTTCGTTTTAGGCATTCACACCTGAAAACTTTTAAAAAATCTGTTTCTCTGTTTTACTTTCACTACTATTGCTAAAGGCTTTTGAGAAGTTCTATGCACATTGCTTTGGGAGGGAGGGTGGCGGAAAATGTAAAGGAAAGGAGTGGCAGAACCAAAACCTAAACTGAGAATGTGGTAAACTGTCTCCAGCGAGACATCTGAAACGCTCCTGTACCCCTGTTCTTGCAATAGTGCCATTTCTTCAGAAAGATTCATGACCTACTGAGCTGGAACGTCTGTTGACATCTGGTTGAGGTTACTGTAGCTGGTATTTGGGATTCAGGGATATTTTTTCCAGTTTAATTGAAACAAGCTGAGATTGTCTACACATTCTATGAGTTGTTTCCACGCTCTGGCCATTTAGTCTCTCTGAAGGGTGATTCTAGGATGGCTGAATCTGAACTGGAAAAGGGGAAACACCTTGATAGTTCAAAACTGCAGCCCTTCTGTGGGTCACGCTCCCAGCCAAAGTCAGAGTGGCTGGAAGCAGGGAAGCTTTGCCCCTTGTCTGTAAGATGCGCTGAGACAGATGTTTTGCAAATATGCTACTACTGACTTCAGTGTAACTGTAAGCTATGATACCTGGGTTTCCGATTTACATCTTTGCAACGCTGGAGGACTTGGAAATGCTTTTATTCACCAGGTAAAATGACAACCTGGCCTTTTCAGAATAGCTGCTGGGAGCTGTGACAAACCAAGAGACCAGACGATTACAGCACAGCTCCTGCAGATCCTCATCCACGGCATCAGCTGAGCCTTCCAGCGAGTGTGTGCTGAGGTGCGGGCTCAGCAGCCAAGGATGGAAGTGCTGCGCCGATCCTCAGTCTTTGCTGCAGAGGTGATGGAGGTTTTTGACAGATCTCCCACTGACAAGGAGCTTGTGTCCCAAGCCAAGGCTCTCTGCAGAGACTACATCAACTCCAGGCTAATTCGGGCGGGCGTCAGCTGGAGCAAACCCGAGTACAACGCACCAGTGCCTGGCGGTAAGCTGGCCGAGGTGTCCACCATACTGCTGCGACTAGGTGAGTCCCTGCGGGTATGGGTGGGAACTGGAACCTCTGCGGAGCAATTCAGACCAGGCTGCGGTTTCTGGAACTAAGGAGTGCCAAGAGGCTTTTCATGTGATACAGAGGTTTTTCTTCTCTGCTTTGGGCATTTAGATTTGGTTTTGGTGATCTATCCTAACCTGCATTTCCTCAGTCCCTTTGAGCACTGCTCAGCACAGAGTTCCTGCAAAGCTTCTTTTTTTTCTGAGGACTTGCAACAACTTAAAAGCATGATGCAGTCCAAGAAAGCCCAACAGCAAACTAATTTTACCTGCATAAGACTCCAGCTGTGTAACAGTTTTCAGTTGTTTCAGTAGTCTTTCTCAGCTTGGCATTTTAACAGGTATTGCAGTGTTTTCTCCAGATGCAAGGGACTTGGCTGCCGTGACACAACCCAAGCTGGCATCTAGTCGAGTGCTGCTGCCTCTAGACTTGGGCTTCATTGGTTGCTCGCCCAGACACAAGGATGTTTAATTTGGGGGTAGTTGCTTAGACCTGGTGTGTTGGAGAGTTTTTATAAAGCTGCTTTTCAATGACAGTGTGTTGACATTGTGTTGAATTTTCCTTTGCCTATCTTAATCGTTCAGCAGCCATGAGTTTTCTTGCTTTTTGTTGGAGCAAGGAGGAATTGGATGATGTTGCCCAGCATACCCAAACTAGCTAGCCCCTCTGTGGCCAGGTGACTGTCAGAGATGCTGGGAGAGCGATTTGAAGGCTATACCAGTAAGCTGCTTCATGAAGATGTGCTTTGGAGTTGTGCTTGTACCAGGAGCACCCTTGAAATGCTGACAGTTGCCTGGCCTTTTCCTTTAAGTTTTAGCCTCCTGCATGCTTGAGTCAAGCCATTTGTCTTTTGGGATCCCAAAACCCTCATTCTTAGAAGTTGCTTCCAACATCCCTTTTTTTGCCTGCAGGCTGGTATATTAGTTCATTTCTGGCTTGAAAACTACCAGCAGCATTTGCATCTGATTTAATAACACCAGAGTTTAAATAAGTCTGAAGTAACTTTAGCTTGGCCTAACCTACTCAGGACCAGGCTGATCTCCCAACCTTCTTCCCTTTCTCTATTCTTCTGTTTGGTATTATCCTAAATTTCTAAGGCATAGCTGGTTTCTCCTGACTGACTTTTTTTTTCATTCATTCTTTTTTACTTTTTCTCTCCTACGCTGACTTTTCTTCTGTTTTTGTTTCCAGTGGCTGTTTGGGGGGTTTTTTGTTCTGTCAATCTCACTGCCTCTTTGTCTTCCATTTCTTCTCTGCCTGGGTTGGAGGTTGAGATTTGTTTGCTTTCAACCAGATCTTCTGTGGGTGGCCAGGGTGCATGTTAAAGGGCAAGCAGGTGGCAGACTGGATCTGAAGGCGTTTCCTGGATGACTCTCCTGTTAATTATTCGTGTCCAGATGGAAAGATTTGGCTGAGAGTGCCAGGAACTTGGCACTTTCTCTGAGCAAATCTGTTTGGAGAGAGCCATGTGGTACCCGTGCAGCAAGAAGGGTGAGCAGTCCTCCTTATTAGAATGAAGAGTTGCTTCCACCCTGTTTGTTCAGAAATGTTGCCTGCCTCATGGCCTGTCCCTTCCTTTTCTCCTTTGCAGCTACAAACCAGTACAAGGCTGAGTGGTATCCAGTCACCTGCCAAGTACTGTAGTCCTTAGCTGCTTACTAAGCAGTGCAACAAGCCAGACCAGTTTTTTCTCCATGATAGCACTGAGAAGCCTGCGGAGATGAGAAATCAGAGCATTTTCTAGTTGTCTTGCACGCGCCAAGGCAGCAGAAAGGCTGATGACCAGGCTAGTGGGCTAGCAGAGACACTGGGCACAGGTGGTGTGGTTGCGAAGTCTTGGAGAGAAGAAAACCTGTCAGCTCAGTGAGGCTTAGCAGCTAATTAGTGCAATTAATGAATCAAAGGTGGTAAAACCTAATGATATGGCCAGATGAGACACCTCAGACCAACCTGCCATAGGTGCAAGAGGTCTGGTTTATCTGAACTTCTCTCTGCTGGCAAAGAAGAAAGTGCCCCTTTCACTGCTGCACTGAGCTTGTGGAAACTGCCACTGCTGCCCTGCTTGTTCCTCTGTGATTGGGGAAGGAAAGAGGAGAAGCACAGAAATTGCCCTGAATGTTGCAAAGTGTGCAGTTGAGCATCCGAATGTGGACATGGAAGACTGCCACCAATGTAATGTGCTGCTGCAGAGGTCCTGGGGCTGCCGGGGCAGGGAGTGGTGAGCCTGGCACTGTTTTCCTGTGTTTTTCTTCCCCTGATGCTCTTGTCTGCTCTGTGCACTGCTGCAGGGCAGGGCCTGCTTTAGCAGCATATGTGCCTCCAACCAAAACCCAAAACAGGCCCTGATCTCATCTGGAGCCTCCAGGCACTGCTTGTTAAAAGCTGTAAATGGTGGCAAGCAACCAAGGGCTGATCCCACCCTCTTGGCTAACCAGGGGCAGGGCTATCCCTGTTTCCTCGCATTTACAGGGAATCCTGCTCCCTGAGAGGAGAAAACAGCTGTTGAGTAGTGTGGGTAATGTTTCCCCTTATCAGGGCTGACCATGTGTTCACAGGGTTTCCTCTTGCCGTCTGATTGTGTGGGACAATCCTGTAAGCACAAAGGGCCCAGAGCTCATCTGTGGAGTTCTGTTGAGCTGGGCTTTGCCCACACTGTGCTGAGTGCCAGCTAAATTAATTAAGGAACAGTAGCTAATGACTCTGTAATGAGCTCCTGATTGGGGTAGCATCTTCCTTTTCAGTTCCCAGCTAAATGAAATTTTCAGAAGGATTCATTGCCCTCTGACTCGGTCAAGTCATCTAAGTCTTGGATGTAATGCTGTTGTCACAGCTCTCCTTTTCCCCTGGGTGCTCCAGAGCATCCGTGAGCAGGAGAAGGACACAGATTGGCCTTCTGGATCTAAACCAAATAGGCCTCTCCATGCACAATGGGTCTTGGTCCCATGCAATGTTTGCATTGTGTCATGCTCCTACAGCAACTGTGCAGCCCTCGTTAAATATCTGTGAACACCTATAGAGAGAGAAATCCATTGGAAACAGGGCTTTATTAATTCTACTGCTCAGGAATGGTTTGTTTTGCTACGGAGGAAAAGCTTTCCTGCTGTTGCCCGAGCTCCGTAGCTCAAATGTGTGGGAGGAGGTTCTCTGCTTGTCCTCGGTATTTCCGTCTTGGTCTTCAAGCTGGCCTAACACCTCCAGCTGTGTCCCAGCTGGGGAGAAAACAACCTGGAGGTGACAACAGGTGTAAGGAACCTTGTTGCTGAGGAGTCAGCCAGGCAAATGAACATCTCTCTAACCATTTGGAGGAGAGAAAGACCTCCAGATCATCACTCAGCGCCTGTGTGAGCATAAAATAGCTGAACAGATAATCTCTTTGCTCACTCACTGTTGTGCAGCTCTGGGTGGATCCTTGGTTGTCATCAGCCTCCAGCATTCTCGAGTCGCTCTCATTTTGAGGCTTTTTTGTACAAGTCTGATGAGGTGTTGAGAAAGGGCGTATCCCTCAAAAGCTGGCAGAGATGTACATGTCTCCTTTTCTCTTCTGAAGAAAAATGAGATGGCTTTGCTTATCTGAGGCCTGTCTCCTGTGCTGGAAGAAAGGCAGGCAGGCAGCCTGGGAACGTCATTTATCTCAGGGATTACTGCAGCCACACCACTGGTTCAGGGCCACTGCACGTCCCTGCTTCCTTGAGAAGTCCCAGGCACAGGGAACATTAGGAAAGCAGGATGCAGGTGGCAGGAGGTTGCATCTAAGTGACATGAAGCACTCTGCTGCCTGTTTAAAATAAGGTGGAGTTGGGCTTAAGCTTTTGGCTGTAGGGGTATGTGGGGTGGCCCCGTTCCTACCTGGTAAGAGCAGGACTTGGTGTTGTGTGTGCTGACTCCTGACTGTTTGTTTCCAGGGGATGAGCTGGAATACATTCGCCCCAACGTCTACCGGAATATCGCCCGCCAACTGAACATCTCGCTGCATTCGGAGACAGTGGTGACGGACGCCTTCCTGGCAGTCGCCGCGCAGATTTTCACTGCAGGTACTGTGCCCTGGCAGAGATGCAGACAGGGCTGGGAGGAAAGGAATGGGATGGAGCCACCTCTCTCAGAGAAGGCGTGTTTCTGGGATGGCCTGCAAGGTGGGGCCTGGTTTCTGAAAGAGCTGTGGGCAGTTTGGCAGCATGCCCTGCTGTAATGATTTAATGAGAGCTCCTCTGTGCTCTGTTGTTCTGGCAGGGAAATGCCCTGTTTTATTATATCCTCCTGGCAGGTTCTGGCTCATTCTAGAAGGCATCTCCTGTCCTTCCTCATTAGGAGGTGGTGTTACCTCATTGCACAGGGAGATAGCTCATTCCAAGCTCCTTCGCTCACTATTGGCAGCCGCAGAAGATTCATTACATGGGAGTCTCCCTTGTTCCAGAGCATGCTGCTGGCGCTGGGAGCCAGAACCAACTCATCACAAGGGAGTTCCTCTCTTCCTGGCTTCCTTTCCTCCAGCAGCAGCCAGAAATACAATGGAGTCTGCTTCTTCCAGGTGCTGCTTCCCTTTTCTTGTGGTCAGAGAGACAGGAGCCTCGGCCTTCAAGGCTTGCTCCTGACAAACGGGTGTTTTGAACTCCCTCACTGCTTAGATGTGAATGTTCTTCTGCTCCTGCTTGGTCCCAGAGGTTACTGTTGAAAGCAAAGGCACGCTGTGCTGTGTTCCAGTGAGGAGCACTGTCCCTGCCAGCAACTGGGAGGGCAGTCTGGGGGAATCGAGGGAAGAGAAACGTTTTACATAAAGATATTTATGTCAGGCAAACCCTGACACAGCTGTGGGTTTTCTGCAATGTCTTCTTGTGTTGTCCATGGAAGGGATGGTAGCTGTTAGAGACTGGAAGCCAAAAAAAACCAACCCCAAACCAAAACAAAATAAAGACACCCCCCCCCAAAAAAACAAACAAACAAACAAACAAACCAAAACAAACGAAATAGGGAAAGGAACCAAAGATAGCTACTTGCTAGCAGCATAGTAGTGTGAAAACACTGGATCCAGTGACGTTGACATAAGAAGTGTCACAGAAGGCAGTGATTCTTGTTACTTTGCGAGTAGTCGGTACAGGACAGAAGTCCAGGTTTCTGTTGTACTTTCACATAGGCTTCCTCACTGAAACCATTTTTATCTTCACCATCAGCTTTATGTCTTTGTGTGTATGAACTGCATGGGAACCACTGACACCCTGCAGAAGCCCTGTGCTGACATCCTGGACTTCAGATCTGAAGTGCGTTGTGGTGAAGGGCACAGATCATCTTCAGAATCACAACAGGGCAGGTTGAGCAGGGCAGATTTACTTCCCTGAATCAGGAAAACTGAAGCTGTGTAATAGGAAATGGATGGAAATGGATCCTGTAGCCCTCAGCATCCTTTCAAAGCATGCCTAGAAGGGCTTGGGGAGGCCGTGTGGGCTCAGAAAGGAGGAGCTGGGCAAGTATGGCAGGAATGGCTGAGTGCGGCTGTGTGAGGTGCCCTGGCTTGTGCTGAGCTTTACTTGCATCAAGGCTTACAGACAAATGAAGGTCAAGTTTGCAGGCTCAGGTATTTGCACTGCAGGTAAGTAGGTTATCTTCTTGATGACTATAGCTGACTCCATCAGGACTGGCCCACCTCCAAAGCTGAAGTGACACAGGGAATTAAGCCAGAAAGGTGGAAGGCTGCAGGTGGAACAGACTGTGTCAGCCCTGCTGGCTTCTGGGAGTCCTGCTTTTGCCAATGTGTAGTGACAGATTCATTGAGAGCTGCTTTTTTTTGGTGTTCCTCAGCTTCTCAGTTCGGGAGTCAAGCAAAAAGTGTGGATGGTTTAAAATGTTTTTGTTTAAAGTAAAACTAGAAATTGTAACTCTTGGTTCTAAACTTGGGGTTTTCAGGGTAGTAAAGATCCAAACTCAGCCTTTTAAGGCTGGCAATGACAAACTTTGGGAACATGGTAGGTGCCCAGGCTCAGGCTCTGTTGCTGGTGCTGCCCCTCATCTGGGGATGCGGTGCTGTGTAAATGGCTGGTAGTTGGCTGGTGCACAGGGGGTGGATTCAAACCTTCCCAGTGCTCTCTCAGCTCTGTTTTTCCTTCTTGCTCATCTCTGCCTCAGAGCAACTAACAGGATAATCTGTGAGCATGAAGCTGGGGTTGTGTATTCAATTACTTTTATCAATTCGTTATTGTAATTTCTCTTGCTAAAGGCTGCTGAGTGGCACAGGGGAGGAGTTTGCCAATTTTTAACATTCTTGGATCCTAACTGCAGTCTCAAGACTCAGTATTTAATGCTAAATCCAGCAAATCAGAGTTGACTCTGGCAGCCAGACATTCATTCCTAATTATTTTTCATAGTTCAGAGGAAAGAGGCTCTTACTGAGCAAAAGAAACCAGAGACTCAAGTGCAGTCTGAGTTTTCATGCCAATTACCAATGGCTACAGCATCTCAGCATGTTTTTCACTGTCCAGTTTATTAAGAAAGCAGCTGCAGGCACTGCAGTGCCTAAATGTTCTGGGGAGCTGGAGTCACTCAATGCCTTTCTAGCAAGGGACTGGGGGGTTTTGACCCCATCTTACTGGACAGGTTTTCTCCTTAATCTTTTATTAGTCTTCTTCCACACTCTGGTCTGGTTTCGTGTCTTCATGTTGTAGCTCTGACTGGGCTCACTTCCTGTCCACACTGTCTACAAGTCTTGACTAAGCACAAGAACCAGATGGGACCTCTCAAGAAGCCAAGGCTGAGGACATCTGGCAACCTTCTTGGTCCCACTACATGGGCACATTGTGCTATATTTGACTTTACAGGGTGAGTGTCACGAGGATGGAGCCAGGCTCTTCTCGGTGACAAACAGTGATAGGACAAGGGGTAACGGACACAAACTGGAACACAGGAGGTTCCACTTCAATTGGAGAAGAAACTTCTCAGTGAGAGACACAGAGCACTGGAACAGGCTGCCCAGAGAGGTTGTGGAGTCTCCTTCTCTGCAGACATTCAAAACCCGCCTGGACGCCTTCCTGTGTAACCTCATCGAGGTGTTCCTGCTCCAGCAGGGGGATTGGACTGGATGAGCTTTTGAGGTCCCTGCCAATCCCTAACGTTCTGTGATTCTGTGATTCTGTGATTACAGCATTGTCTGTCCCAGTTATCTCAGGTTTGGCTTTTCTCTGGTGTAGCAAGGACAGCTTGAACCCAAATTACTGCAAGATTAACAGCTGAGAATATAGGCAGAAGGTGAGCAGGTCACAGAGCATGGCAAAGCTCCAGCTGTATTTTGCTTCCCTGTTTCCATACTACCTGCTAGTGATTTGGGGTGAACAGAAGGAAAAGGAGATGCATTTTCCTTTCCTAAAGGAACCTATTTCCTCCAGCTGGTAAGAGCTGCTAGGCCTGAGGGCTCTCTAAAAGCATTTGTTGTGGTTTTGTATGGGTTTGGGTGCTCATCAGTTTTTAATCAAGAGTGCTTGGGCTGAAGTGAACCCTGTACAAAGGGAATGCATGGTTAATGGGTTCTCAGGAGAAAAAACTTCTCCCTGCAGAGCAGATGCTGTTAAAATGCATCCCTCATCACTTAGGCCTTATGAGTTGAGCTTTCCGCCTTGTGCATGTCCTTTTTGGCCTCTTTCTTTCCACCAGAGGAAAGTATATTGTGTCTGGCTGTGTGCTCCCGGCTGCTGAAATGTAGCACTTGATCATGTTTCTCTTAGGTCTGGTTTGCAAGTTGGATTTTGATGCTGAGTGGAGCAGAGAGATTTATTTGAGTACCCTCAGATATTGTGGTGCTCCGAGGCTCTGCACATTTGTGTCTCGTGGCTTCTCGAGCTTTCCCCTGGGTTAGACAGGCTGATATGCAGCAGGAGCACTTTCAAGAGCGGTCCTCTCCTACTAATTCATTTTCCCCTCGGCTTGCCAGTGTTTATATACCTTCAGCTCCATGACTGGCCTTGAGTCTGCAACTTGCATTTCTTATTTCTTAAAATGCCTTGTAAGCAACTTTTCACTCTCCATGTCCTTTGGTTCATCTCCGTGAGCAGAAGTCTCAGAGCTTTCTCTGTTTTGATCTCTCCTTTTGGACAAGTTTTTTTCCCATTCCCTCTTGCTGTTAGCTCCTGCACATGCTGGTGTGTGAATAGATTGTCTTGCTTGGTGATGAGTGCCTGTTTCACCCAATGTGGATGCCAGCCAGACCTTTTGAGGAATTTTCAGCAAGATAAGGTGTTTTCTCTGCTCATGTGTGCTGACCAGGTGCAATTCCGGATGCTGAGCCCTGCTGGGTGCTGCTGAAGGCAGAGGGACTGGCCACAGCATCGCCCAGCTTTGGTCTAGAGCAGCTTAGAGAGGTGTCTGCTCTTCCTTTGCTTCAGGGCTTCCCCACAACTTCTTGTGTGAACAAGAGCATAAGCTGTGCCTTGCTGCCCTCATCTTCTGCCGCTGGCAGTGGCAACAGGAGCTTCCATGTGGAGGAATCAGGAGGGGATTTCCTCCTCTCCCACCCCTGCAGCCCGGCTCTGCAGTAACAGGAAAAGCAGACTGAGAGACTGGTTTGACCTTTGCAGGCACGCTCTGGGAAGAGGGGGATAATGGGAAGTGACCGCTGAGCCTTTCACATCCATCACTGTGATAAGCATCGGCCAACAACTTGCCCTCTTTCTGCCGTCTGTGTGAGAGGGAGAGGGACTCTGTTTGTGCACTGGGGAAGCACTCACTTTGTGCACGTCCCTCAACAGGCACCTCTACACAGCAACCTTGGCAGAGAAACCAGGGCTGAAGGGCTTGTTTTCCATCCTCTCTGGGAGGAGACACTTGGACTGGTGTGTCTGCAGGGCAAACTGTTTTCCTAGCAGGAAAACCATGGGTCTCTAGAGCCTTTCACAGGTTGTGGATGCACTTTTCTTCTGTAGGAAAGAGAAACTTGGGATTAAAATGAAGTTAATCAAGACTGCGGCTGTGTGTCTATCAGGGCAGCCTCAGCCCCTGTCAGTCTTAGTTACTGCCATGTAGATATCACAAAGCTAATGGACTTGCTTCAGATACTTAAGAAAGTACTGTCAGTAAAAGCTTGGGAATAAGCCAGTGACCTCTTCCCTGGAATTTTGGGTAACGTTGGTTCATGTAACTCAAGATCCAAGGAGCCACATTTCTGCAGGCATGAAGAACTGTAAAAACTGACTTACACTAAAGCTGAGTATAAGCCAGCTGAGGCTCTGGGCCAGGAAATTGGAGTCAGCACAAGGTAACCCCTTAAAGCCTCTTTCAGTGGGTGGAGAGCTGTTGACCTGCCCGAGGACAGCCCCTTTCTTGCCCGGAGAAGCCCTGTGTCTGGTATTTTGTGATGTGGTTTCATGTCCTCTTCCTGGCTCGTTCTGCTGGCTGTCACGGTGACATGCAATGTGAGAGAGACATAAATGCCGCGAATACCACACCGGCAGTGAACTTCCTGAGCGACAGCTCTGGGGAAGGGACGCTGCAGGGCCTACTGAGAAAGTAAAATCAGAAGAATAACAGCCAATGTAGCTGTATTAATAGCTTCCTCTGATCTGGGAGATAGTGCTGGTGAAGGATAGAGTACGACAGGGGACGCTGAGCTGCTGCTGATACTGGTACTACAGAACCTCACGAAAGGGTCATCTGTAGATTTCGATCTTATGTGAACCATGAGTGAAAAGTGGCTTTATTGGAAGACTGAATGGGTTTTCTTCAGTCTAACAAGCCATTTGTGTGGCTGACATTTGAACAGTTTATCTAAAGTTTAGTTGATTTTATTTAATTAAAAAAATAGCAAGTAATTCTAAAAGTGTTAGTGTTGGTGTTGGTTAGTGTTGGCCCTTTTGAGGTAGTAAGTGGAGGGATTGTGGAAATGCTCTGAAACCTGCATGTGTTGTAAAGGGATGTGGGGAGCTCTGCTGTGGTGTGAATGGGCGTGAGGAGTCCGGGCTCTGCCCTGAAGAGATGGGTCGGGGTGTCTGGGGATCTGGCAGCGCGATAAAGAAAAGAGGAGGCTTCATTTAATATAAGTTGTATTTCAGGGTTTGCTTTTTTAGCCAATAAATTTCTGAGCACATCCAGTTTCTTGACTGTATGTTTAACCCTTTGTGGTCCTTTAATCTAGTGGCTGAACTATTCTTTTCTCCCTCTCTTTCTTGTTGCAAGCCAGCAAGAATGGCTTTCTGTATTTTTAAATACTGAAACTTCACCTGGCTTCTGGCTACTTTTGGGAGAGACCCTGGACAGACTCCACAGAGACCTAATGCTGTAAAATACAAGTGTGCCTGTCAAATACCACTACTCCAGATAATAAAGTAAGGGTGCGGGGGGAATAAACTTCCTAGCAGATCCAAAGGCAATCCACGTGCTGTTGTGCTGTGGTAGTTGTACGTGGGTGCAGAAGGGTTGCATTTTCAGGCCACTGATCCTGATAAAAGCCTGATGAGGGACTGCTGGCAGCAATGTCTAAGCAGGGAGGATTTATGCCCAGTGGTGTTGGCAGTGTGCAAGGGAGGCCCAGGGAGGTTGGCTGGTGCCCAGCACTGGCCTCAAGCACCTCTAGCTAGCGCTAACAGGAAGATGTCTGCTGCTGGGACAACTTCCATGGAGCATTTGCTGCTGGCAGGACAGCCCGGCAGGAAGGCTGTTCTCGAGAAGATTAGGGAAGTGCCTGACCCTTCGTCCCTGCACTGCCTTCAGTGGGGTAGGATATGCAGTGTTAAGTATTGCAGGCAGAGTGACCAAATTCTTGAAGTTGCCTGGTTTTCAGTGGGGTCTGAGACATACACCTTGCATCAAGTAGAGCACCAACGCTCTTGGCCCTGTAGCTTTGCCTCCCTTTTTTTGCACTTGTGTCATGGCAGAACCGACTGAAGATGCTTGCCTTGTGTGCCTTGTGTGTCACAGTGGAACAGTCTCCTCTAGAACACAGGAACGCTTTGTCTTAAAGGTATTTAAGAGTTGTGTTGGAGACAAAAACCCCACGCTGCTCAAACTCTTTGAATTCAGTTGCCTCCTGTGCAACATGTGCGTGGCTGAGTTAATGGCAATATACACCATGGTGGTGCATGTCTTCCCTGTTTTGATGATGCCTTTGGGCTGCTTCCTCCAAAGCCGTGCACCCAGTGCTGAGAGGGAGTCAAAGCATGCCCAGGTCAGATCACTTAATTCTGCTTGTCCAATTTTCTCCAGTCAGGGTTTCCTAGCACTTCTTCTCCCCCTTGGTAGATAGCATGCAGAACTGGGGCTGCACCTGCACTCAGAGCTGCACACATGCAGCGTGGGCACGTGTAATGAAGGAGAGCTGTTTCCCTTGATTATTCGAGACTGAGTTGTGCGTGCATGTGCAAATCTGAATGACTTTTCTTCTTCTCCTAGGCATAACGTGGGGCAAGGTGGTGTCTCTCTATGCTGTGGCAGCTGGGCTGGCGGTGGACTGCGTGCGACATGCGCAGCCAGCCATGGTTCACACCATCGTAGACTGCCTGGGAGAGTTTGTCCGCAAGACCTTGGTGACGTGGCTGAAAAGAAGAGGAGGCTGGGTAAGAGATGCTGTCTGATCAAGCTTGCTTCCACGCAGGCAGACCAGAAAACATCCCAGTTAATGAAAGCAAGAGCACCTCCACTGCAGTTTTGTATGGAAAAACATTGAATGAGGTTCTCTTCCACAGTCCTGTGGCCACCACTGTCCTACCTACACCTGTGCTAGACTCCATCTGCCTCATGGTCCTGTCCTCAATAACATCAGCTATTCTGGTCCTCAGCATTCTCCATAGCTGTGCCAGACTAATTCAGTCCTGAATTAGATATCTATAACCCCATTCCAGTGCCTCTTCTGTCCCTGACCTGAATGACACCGGAGCTGCCAACCAGACTGTAAATAGGGGTCATTCACTTGGGCAACTGTTTTCTAGAAATGAAGCCTGCTAACTTATTTCTTCTTTCATCTGCCTCACAGTTCCCCAAGTCAAAGCTCAGTATATTAATGTGACTTCCCACCATAAGGAATTTTAGAGAGTTATTGAAGTTTGGTAGTTTGGGTCATCCCCTGACGTGACCCTGACGATGTTCCATGAATAACTTCTTCTGATGTAGCTCAAATTGTAGCATGCTCACGAATTGAAGGGCACTCATAACACCCATTGACAGTGGGAGGGCTGGTGGCTCTGTCATTGTCCTTCTCTGAGACTGCAAGTAAGACATGGTGCTGCTCTGTGTTGGACCGCGGCTCCATATCATATGGCTTTAATTTAGGTTCTCTCTATACCCAAGGGAAAGTGCAATGCTCCTGTGGAAGATGGTTCAGAGCAAGAGCTTTACTTTGGTGCTGTGGAGCAGCCAGGCATCTTTCTAGTGACCTCCCCAGGAGGCTGAGCTGACTGTTTGTGTTATTGTTTGGCAGCTGGGTGATGTATGTACATACCAGGGTCCCTGTGCCTTCCTGGAGGGGGTGCAGATGCTCCTTGGAGCCATACAGCCAAAAGCAGTTTGGTGCATTGCTTGGCATGTAGTTTCTCCATGAGTGAAAGCATCTTTTTGATAACAACTAATGGAAAAGTAGTGTTGTTCTGATTTTGGATCCCTTGCATTCCCAAAGTGTCATTGCCACCTTAAATCATCCCTGCTCTCTCCAAAAGTGTGTGGCCTTTAGGCCAACTGAGTCAGGGAACAGTTTGGTTGGGCTGAAAAGTAACCTTTGATTTAAATGCCCTGATCTGTTTCATTTCGTGTCTGCACAAATAATTGTGCCGAGGTAGGTGAAGAAGATATCCTGGGAAAATGACTGATTAAGCAGCACTGTTCCTGCCTGTGAAATCCCTGCCTCTGTATTATTTGAGGCTTTAACTGTGTACCTGTAGAGCTGGTTGACATGTATTCTCTGAAACAATTTTTCTTCTGGGAAAAATCCAGTGTCATTAAAACTGAAACGTTGCATAGGAATGTGTCTCCTCCTAGTTTCCAACTATTTTTTCCCCTTGTTTTGGTGAAACATGCATGTTCTGATAAGTTAGCATCTTGTTTTAATTTTTGTGTTACATGATTAGAATTCAAAGAGAGTGTGTTGATAGTTCCAAATGGATATTTTTGGAAAGTTTGTTGCATAGCAAACAAGCCACAAAACCCATCCCCAGACCAGAAGTGGTTCCTTGCAGCTGAGGAGATGAGTCCTGTCCAGTGCTAGCTCCTTCTGCCCATCATCCCTCTTTGGATGGCCAGCACGCATCTATTGGAGTTGCTGAACCTATGCTGCTTGCTCCTGGGATCTGGCCCTAAGAAAGGGAAGCCAATCTCTCTGTCTGCAGTCAAACAAACTGACTGTAAAGCTGCTGGGTTGTGCTGATTGCAGCCTGTCTCCAGCACCCTTATTGACAGGTTTGGGCTGCAACAAGGAGATATCTTCCCTGTAGAAATGAGTGGTTCCTTTGCTATCTTGTGCTGTGCTTCCCTGGATATTCCTCCTCTTGATCTGGACACTGCAGTGTGAAATTTCCCAGCCTTGTTCACAACTAGGCCAGACCAAACAGCTCCGTGGTGGGGACCCTTTCATCCGCTGCCTGCCCTAGCTGGTTGTTGGTTTGTCTTGGCGTGGAGTCCTTGTTTCTCCAGTGCACATGGCCCTCGTCTCTTATGTTGAGGCTGCCAAGGGGAGTCACCGTGCTCTGAGCTGTTTCAGAAAAGCCACTGTGAAGACCTTGGAAAGGCATTTGACAGCCTCCACTCAGCAGTAGGTTCCCACACTGCTTCCACAGGATGGAGAAAGACCCTACCCTACAAAGTCCAGCCCAAAACAAACCTCTTAAGAAACAACAAATATTTGACCCTTTGAGACATCATCTCTCCCTGGGGAGGGTTTGCAGCCTCGGTAGTGGCTTTCCAGTAGAATAGAAAGATTATTTTAGCAGCTGTTTTGCTACAAAGAGCATGTGACTCGAACTTGTTTGAATAATTAACAGGCAAAGATCAAACTGCAGGAGTTTATCTGCCTCACAAGACTCAAAGACCTGTTTTATTAAGTAGCTTTGAAATGTTCGATTCCAGTGCCTTATCAGGTATGCTTTATTTGGATAACAATAGCTAAGGCAATTGCTAAAGAGCTGAGCAGTTTTGTTTATCTAAGCAAGCACCATACAAATCTGTAAGTGCTTCTGACTGCAGCCCCTCTTGCTTAGCACAGGGCACAGTAGCTTTAAGGAGCTCACACTTTCTTACCTGGAAGTTAACCCTCTGCAAGCTCTAATCCACCCAATGTGTAGATCTGAGCCTTGTACTGGTTCACATGAGACACTAAAGCCCTTCAGAGTTTACATTTCTTATTGATCAGCTACCCTAACATTTGTATATACGTGCAGATAAGTACCTGCACGTCATGACTTCTCTTGACTAAAGAGACAGTTTGACACAACTGTGCTTTAAATATGACACTGTGCAGATCATTAGTATTGGGCAGGCTGAATCGGTTCAGATTTTTTCAATGCAAATAGGGTTTGCAGCAGCATTTCCACACCTTGGTGTTCAGCCTCAGGGGCACCCCATGTGCTGATTCAGCTTTCTCCCATCATCCTGTCCGTTCCCATCCTTCCGTGCCTGTATTCATTGCTCCTGCAGTCTCTCCTTGTCAGTTATTCACGAGCTCAGCGTCTCCTGAAGCTCCCTGAAGAGCAGTGGTGCGGGTGATTCAGTGTGCCAGCCTCTCAGCCTTCCCTGGGAGGGAGGAACTGCTGAAACTGCTTGGGAGGCTGCTGCGGCTGCTGTCAAGGCACCTTTTGTCTGTAGGTGACAGTGGAGCTGGTTCGTGCAGCCGTACTCCCTAACTGGACACAGGGATTTGTCCTTTCAGTCTCCTTTTTGTTTTCTCTAATTATTTCCCAGGTAGGTCAGACGAGGCTCACCCATGTCTTGAACACAGGTGGAAATACCAGAAAGCTTATTGGAGCATTCAGCAGCTCTTGTGTCCCATTTTACAGGGTTCAGAGCGTGACTTCCCTCTGCTCGGTCAATGAGAGACTTGTGCCAGGAGGCAAACTCGGAAATCTGCTGAGCTAAGCTTGTAAAGAAAAAGCTTTTGAGGCTGATGAATATTTGCCCTCATTGTGACCCAATTCTTGTTCACATTTGGCACCCAAAAGCCATTTCTGAAAACTGTGTTAAGTTGATGTGCTTGCAGTGCTCTCTGTTACAGAGCTGCAGTCCAGATCGCCTTGTGCTGGGCTGAAGTTTAGCCACAGACACGACGATATTGCTGGCAGAACTGTAATTTGTTTTCCCCACCAGAAGATGCAATTTTCCAGCTACCTCTGTCCTGTTTGCTTTACCCTCCAGATATTTTCCACCTTCTCCTCTCAATGCCAGTTGACATCTTGTCTTCATGAATTTGCTGGATTGTTGTTATTTTGTTATTCCTTGCAGGCCAGCTTCTATTCTTGTTAATACTTGAAACCAGCTGCCCAAGTGATCTTTAAATCTGGCCCACACGTCTGGGAGGCATCTCTGGCAGCATACATATTTCTACAAACAAAGCTTGCATTGCTTGAGATTTAAATTGGGGCTTGGCTTGCTTGAATGAGTTCCAAATAAAACATAAGGGCAAGAGAAGAAGTGCAAGTAACTTGAGCTGATATTAAACAGGACAATCTCTGGGAAGCATCTTGCTTTACAGAAAAGGCTGGGAATGCTGATATGGCTGAGGCTTCCTAGCCCTCTTGAGAAGAGGAAGAAAGTTTCTTTTATTTAGCTATTCAAAATGCTTGACAATCTTCCTGTAGCATTTCTTTCCCCAGAGGTGGCTGAAAAAGGGAGATACTTCACCTTATTGATGCAGAATGAACAAAGTGGATTTTGAAGAGCTCTCGACCCTGATTTAACAACCTGCAATGTGTGCAAGTGTCAGAGCAAGCATCTGGGGCTGTTGAGAGCATGGCAAAGTGGTGCCACAGCAGCAGTGGTGCGGTGCCATGGGTCATCGGGCCGGGAGGGTCTGCAGTGGTGGCTGACGTGGTTCTGGGCATCTCTTGATGATTTCTGTTCCCTCCTTATTAGGCAGACATCACAAAATGCGTGGTGAATACTGACCCCAGCCTTCGCTCCCACTGGCTTGTAGCTGCGGTTTGCAGCTTTGGCCACTTCCTCAAGGCTCTCTTCTTCGTCCTGCTGCCTGAGAGATGAATATGAATTGCCAAGTGCAGCCCCTCTACCCCATCTCCTCCCCCGCTCCAGAAGCAGTGGTCATGGCAATCTCTGAAGAGGAAGAAGAGAAGAACCAGACAAACAAAAGCCTCGTTCTCCTCTCCCTTCAGCTGGAAGCAGATGACCAACCACAGTCTCTTTTTGCAGCCACAGGAGCCTCTCTCACCATGAATCCTTTCAAGAGTCTCGTTTCCCTGGGTGACTTGTGTGTGTGTCCTGGGCAGTGCCGGTCCCTGGGCACGCTGGCTGTGGCTGGCACAGCCCACACCATTGGACATCTCTTCCTTACGTCCGTGTTGCATGCTGATGCTAGTGCCAGGCAGAGGGGAGGAGGGAAGGATATATTATGTGAAATGGGATAGGAAATAGGAGAGGAGGAGAGTCCCTCTCTCGCTTCATTGATTCCCCTTTCAGTCCTCGGACTCGCCTTGTGTCGGTTCTTGTTGTTACATTTGTGCTTGAACTCCATCTCCTCCTTTATACCTAGCTTTGAGTTGCTGGGCTCTTCCCTCAGAGCAGCACGGTGGAGGGGGGAATGCAGCTGTGAGTTTTTAACGTGATACAACCAAATGTACTGCTGTTGTCAGATGCTTCTCTCATGGAAATCAGCCTGTGTGGCTGTGTGGGGGCAGGACTAAAGGGGAGCTGATGGGGTGTAATTTCGTTGACCCCAGTAAGACTGCACTTGCTCGTCGTTTCAAACAGGAGAGTGAGGGGCAACACCTTCAAGAAACAACTTGGGACTGAATTTGATAATGAAGAAAAATGTTTTATCCGCTGAGATTTTGTCAGAGCAAAGTATGTAAATGGGAAGAGCTGGGGGGTAAGGGCAGGAATTAGGGAAGCAGTAAATGAACTGTCTGATGTTGTGAAGGAGGAGAGCCATGTCAAAAGTAACTGATTTATGTTTCTGCTTTGATGTCTTCAGAAGTACAACTCGCAGTTGTCTTTGTGTCAAACAATAAAAGAAAATAGGTGGTGTTTCACTATTGGAAAGGATATTGTATTTGTTTCCAGAGTTTAAAATTCCAAAAAAGGCTAGAACAGTGCAGACACAAACACTCAGGCCATGCTAAAAATACTTCAGCTTTTCCCCTGGTAGAACATCTTAACGTGTTAAAACTACAGCTCACCCCATTCATGCTAGGAATTTAACCCTTGTTGTTACCATGTCAGAAACGTGCTGTTTTCACCGACAGACGTGGAGCCTTGCTGCCGTCAGCAGGGAAAAGCCTCTTCTCTGCCCAAGCCTTGTGGGAGACTCCTGTGTGCCTTGCTCCTGAGAGAGTGGCGTCACAGAGAAACACTTCAGAAACACTTCTGGATTAAGATTATGTGGTGTTACAGCAGTTTTAGCTGGGTTTTTATTTTTCCTGATTTCTCTCCCACACCCTGTGTTCAGAGGCGCTTTGCTGTTTCCGTGCAGAAGTTCCAAATGGGTTTGTCCCCAGTTCCCCAAAAAAATCACTCACTGTGAAGGAGAAAGCCTCCCGTTGTGTATCAAAGCTGTGTGCTGCCCTTGATGGTGTCTAGGCAGGCTTTAGCTACACAATTAAAAGTTGGGGGGATTGTACTGACAAAGGTCCCAGTGTGGATGTTGCTGATGGTGCCCTGAGGTTGGTGCATTTTCATGTGTGTAAAGCTTGCAGCAGTTCCCCCAAAGAAAAGCAAATTGCTGACAGAATATTTCATTTTTTTCCTTCCTGACATGATTATATGAGCATTAGGGGTTTAGCTGGCACCTCTCCCATTTGCAGTTTTCTTCCTTAGATTCCTGATTGATCTGGCTATGGAAACTTAGACCAGATATAGCGTAAATGGTGAACTAAATGAATCGCACTTTGAGCAGCGCAGAGAGGATCCCCTCTGATCCGGCATCAGTGCAGTGAAAGCCCTGTAGTTCATTGCAGGGGGATTCAGCTTCGTTGTCCTAAAGGAGCTTATGAAAAAGTAGACTGGATTTCTGGAAATCCTGGCTGTGGGCAGACTTTGTCTCTGACAGTTTCTCAGCTCGTAAATGCCAGCTTGCCTTATCGTGCCTCGTGTTTTATGAAGTATGCGTGAGTTAATGGGGCACAGTCGAATGCTGGGACTGTCAAGACCTTTCTCAATTTAGTTGCTGTTTTGAAATGTAATACTTAAGGCTATGACTGCATTTCCAGTAAACAAATTATATCAGAGAGACTATACAGGAACATAAAGAGTTAAACGCACCAATTAAATGGGTTTAACAAAAAGATAATGATAAGCCAAATAAAGCATCGTTTCTGGAAAGGAATGTGCGTGGGTGGGAAGGGGGTTAGGGAGGCAGACAAAGACTTGGTCTGGAAACTGCTGATAATAGAGGTGGTGAAACCACAAATAGGTTTCCGACTTCTCTAGCTTTCCTTTTTCCTCTTTCCTCTTCCATTTGTTATCCTCCACAAGGTACAAAACAGAGCCAATGGGCTGCTCCTCTTGCATTTGATGTTAAACTGGGATGATAGTCACACCCTCCTCCTGCAATAGTCACATCGGCACCAGCCTCACCACCAAAATAAACAGCAAACAGAATTGCGCATTCTGCTGTGCATTTGGGAAACAACAGTCTGGAGCCTGACCCAGACAAGTATTTACATTACATTCAGTTTTAGCTATAATATTTAGGCATTTCAGAGTATTTCCAGAGGTCCTTTACAATCTCAACAATTCTGTGGCTCTGGGATTTTTCTTTTCTCTCTTCTCTTTTGGCCAGTGCTACCTGATAGGAGACATCAGGGTTGCTTATTTGTCGCCTCAATAAACATTTTCCTTTTATGTGATTAGTGAAGGTCTCCGGAGCGTGTCTAATTTATTTAGCTGTTAAAGAAAACCAAGAATGTAAGTACCAAGGTTAGTACTATTATGCTTCTTCATATTGAAAGCCTGCCTGTTCTTCCAGGATCAAAAACTGAAAACCCCCAAACTAGCCATCCCAAATAGGGTTCTTTTTTCCCAGGTTTTCCAATTATCTGCTTGATAATTGCTTGTAGTGAAAGTTCTCTTCATTTTCTT